ACAGAAATTGATTTTTGATTACATCACCAAAGAGCTGAAATAAATGAATTTACTGATGGGTGTGCAGGCCAATACAAATTAAGACACACTTTTGGCGAGCTTTCCTGTTCTCTTGCTGACTTTGGTTTCCAAGTAGACCACCACTTCTTTGAAGCGTCTCATGCAAAGGGAGAGCAAGATGCAGCTGGAGCCAACATTAAACAGCGTGCCACCTTAGCTGTACTGAGGCGTGAAACTTCAATCACTTCTGCCAAAGACCTCTGCAAGTATCTCTCAAGGACATTCAGTAACCCCACATCCCAGTCAGAGAGTGTCACCCTAAAGAAACGAGTGTTTTTCTATGTTCCTGTGGATGGCGAGGGAACAGTACCCAGGGGAAGGCAAGGCCACACATTCAAGGAGTTCCAGGGCATCAGAAAGATCCATTGCATAAAGACAACACCTGAACAGTGCAAGGTATACACAAGACTATGCAGCTGTACATGCTTTGAGTGCCTGGATGGAAGCTACGAGGAATGTGAAAACTCGGCAATGGTGGATGGATGGCAGGAGGTCAGATTGACAAGAAATGGTGAAGTATCAACAACGCCACACAGTGAGGCTGCTGGAGGAGATCATGTCAATGCTCTAACAGACCTGACTGAAGGCAACAGCATTGTGGCAATAACAGCAGAAGAGGATAATCACTTTGATTACTACCTCTTAAAACTGATAAGCAGTGGTGCTGTTGTCCTTGAATCAGATTAAAGTGATGATTACAGAATAGCATACCCAATGGGGTCACATGTTCTGAAAGGCCACTTCTTTCTACGGGACAATATTATTGATGCAACTTACAAGCTTGACACAAAGATTGCCATGGTTTATGCAAACACAGTCAGGGCAATCTGTGGTGAACTTAGAACCATCAAAAGGAGAAGAGAGACCCTGTTTAGATTATCCCAGCACAACATGAAGAGATTACGTCCTGTTTTTAGAGTAAATTTAATTTGCAAACACATGTAGTTTATCAAGTATAGGCAAATTGTGTATACTGATTTTGACCTAATATCGACTCTCAATGTTACTTGATTAGTCAGCATTTTTGGCACCTCATTTAAGGATTTAAAATTAGCATTTAATCTGCAGTAATATTTTACATATTGAATGAATCCTGTGAAATGACCACACCCGCAAAGGATCATGGGTGATCATTAAATATTGATTTATGAGCATTTTTTCATATTTCTCATCATGACGTTAAAAATAGAAAAATTAAGCCAGAAATTAGCAAGAAACTGAAAGATTTGATGGTTTCTGTTTAGTACCCACACCCTCAAAGAATGATGGGTAATTCTCAATTTTTGATTTATAAGCATTTTTTACTGTTTTTCTTCCAAATATGGTTGGACACAAGAAACAAAGTGCTAAATTAAGAAGTATGGTACTTTTTTGAGAAATTTGTTTTTAAGCCTTTGTTACACATTTGTACCCCGGATTGTGCTTCTGGTCAAATCGAAGCTATCTGATTTCACTCCATTGAACAAAATACGTTGGCTATGCTACTGACTGGCCAAGTATGACGAAAACCACTCTAGAGTCTTTCTGCGTTTACCGAATCTTGTGTTCAAGCGTCTAAGTAAAATTCCATGAGCCACCGTGTCAAATACGGCACTTAAAAGTAGTGTAACGTGCTGCTAGTTCATATTTAAAAGAATATCATCAGCGACTTTGACCAACCCTGTCTCTGTACTGTAGTGTCGACGATATGCAGATTGCAACAGCAGATAATGACCTGACCGGTCGTATGTCTGATTAAATACAGCATGCTCTGTAAGTTTAGAGATGTTGGCCAAATTGCTCACAGGATGCAAGTTCTTTACACTGAATCAAGACCTAATTTCTTCAGTGGAGGTATAACCACAGCCTCTTTCTAGCTTACAGGAAAAATTCCTGAATCCAGAATTCTCCAAGGAGTATTTGTTACACAAGATCTTTAATTCTTACACAGTTAAGATCAGCTACAGCTGCGTGTCCAACCTCAAACAAAACATCTATGGCCACAAAAAACAATAAAACATGCACCTGCAGAAAACCAGCTGAGAGTCTTATGGATGGAAATTGCTTCAATCAGTTGTCTACCAAGTGAGCATCTGAACAGAAAATAACAACGCTTTCCAAACCTGGCAGGCCTAACTGAAAATCTTTTGAGAACAGATATTCAAACCACAAATTGTCATTCACTAATTCAGGTAAGAAGTGTGAACTGTAAATGATTGTATTGTAACTAGCTTTTGTGTGTTGCATTAAAAAATAACAAAAAATAAAATAGAAATTCAGTAATTCAAACAAAAGGCACAGCATTGAACTAAACAAACATATCTGGCATATGTTTAAAAATGGAAAAAGTGTAGTCAGGAGATGTGATAAGTTCTATGGAAAAAGGTTTTTCATTGACGCTTGATATTTTTCAACAGACATTTTGGCTAATGCTTGAGCCCTCATCAGTGATATGAAAGTGAAGTTCGTTGTCATATGCTATTTAAAGTAACGCGATGCAAAGCTTGCGCACGTGACCATGTAATTCATGCTCACACGATGCCTTTGTAGGCTTCTGGAAGTACAATATGATCGTTCCCAGCGTTTGGGTCCAAAGTAGAGTGCCAGGCTTTGAGGAAAAGTCTCTTGTGGTAATTAGCTTCGAAACCAAAGACCTTGACGTTTTCAAAGTTCATGTTGTGGCTGAAATGGTGGACATGGCTTGCAATTTTGGAGTTTTTGTCAAAACCTGCCACTGCCTTTTTGTGCTCCGCAATTCGGGTCTATACTGATCTTTCTGTTTGGCCATAGTACACAAAATTACACTGTGTGCAATTGACTTTGTACATTATGCCTGATTTGTGGCAGTCAGAATCGTCTCGCTTTTTAGGGTGCAGAAAAAGGCTATTGATGGTTAGTTGTGGTTTGTAAGCTACTTTGACCTTCTGGCATATATGGCATTATTGTCAGGCTAGGGCATGCTTCAATTCTGGAAAAATTGGTTACTAAAATCACAGACAGCCAGTTCATGGAGCTGGTGGACTTGCTGTCAGTAACAGTAGAACAGGAGCAACAGACTTTTGTAGAAGGAAAACTCTTGGTCTCCTTGTCAAGTTGTAAGTGAGTGGACATTAAAAACATTTCCCCTCACCAGAAGCCTTTATCATTTTCATATGGTATTGTGCACTACTCATCCACACCATTGGTCTGATTTGACTAAATGCAAGCTTCTTGTTATCCAGACAGCGCATCAGTTCCCAAGCTTAGCCTGGTTAGAGTACAATCTGGCATTCAGAAAAGATCCAGCAGCTCTGAGTGACTAGTCCAAAGTGAATTTGGATTGTACAATTTTAACCTGTGATCAACAGCTCTGTTGCCTGTTCAACCATCAGTAGCTCCATGCCATGTTCAATTCAGTCTTCTTTTGCATGCCAAGACTGCACTCAGCTTATGCTCGTTTGCTTCTACTGGAATGACAGGTAGTGCCAGTGGCCATATGCATGTGCAAGTTCCGGCACAAATGCAGAGTTGTAAGGGTGAGCACAACAAGATCTCCTGCCCGTTCCTTTGCTCCTCTGGCCCACGTCCCCATTTACCCTCTCCTGGTGGAAGAGGAAGATGGTATTGACTGGCAAAACGTGCCCAGTGATATACTAGGTATCATATTTCCAATGGTTGCATGTGTATTTGAAATCAGTGTTACAATGTAAATTGACATTTGCCAATTTAATCAGATAAGTACTGCACACAAGTTGTCTGGTTCAAAACTACATCGTTAATGCCAAGTCAAATCTACACTTGATCAGTTCATCCTCTCTTGTAATCAAGCTCTAGTTTACTATTGAGCACTCTGAAAACAGTTCTGCAAATCAACTTGTTGATGTACTTTTTATTTTATATTCATTTATGTTTATATATATTTCTTCCTATTTTTAATGTACATACACTGGTAGTCTTAACTTTTAGTCTAAATAAATGACCCCAGCAGCTCTGCTGATTGTCCCATTGTCTCAGTTCAGTTCAGTGATATGCCATTTGCTAATTAACACTTTGCCCACTGATGGGAACTCAAAGTCCCAAACGATCACACCATGAGAAGGAAATGTGAGAGTGAAACAACCCACAGGGACAATCAATTCCAAAGAGCTTTCAATATGATTCCTCTAGTAAGGACACAACATTGCATCATACATCACGTAGTTGTTGAGATCACTTTAACATGGTGGCTTGGTAAGATGTGCATGTGGCATTCAGGTTTGTGTTATTTAGTTCACTTTTTTAGTAGATTATTGATTGAGTTGAAGGCTGATCAATTTTTTGTGAATAGTTTAAGATTTAGAGCACACATTGAAAATCCTTTGGGTGCAAAATTTCTTAATTCACCCTCAAGAGATGGCAGGGTTTGTTTGGAACTCACAAATTCCGTCATGTGTTATAGGGACCCATATTTTAGTATGTAGAATTGTATTTTTAGTGTAATGAATCCAGATTCAGTTCTGTTACGGCAAACAAAATACATTTTTTGCAACAAACAGTTCAAATAAAGACTGTGTACTAATGCATAGCCAGACAGGTTTAATTTGGTCACTGTTTGGAATCTGTGCATGTCAAATTTAAAATTAAGGTTCATTCCACAGTGAACTATTTACACAGAACAGTAAGGCTGCATTGGCATACTCATTGTGGCAAGTGTTCAGCAGCTCTAGAACCTCCAGAACCAATAGCCTAGATGAAGTGCTTTTCATGTTGGATGAAATAAACATTGTCATGGCTGATTTCTGGGGGACAGATCAGTATCTAAGTTTCCCTTTTGTGTCATCAGCACTTTCAAGAAATAGATTTTCCCAAATATCAGGACTGCATGCGAGAGTTCTCCACAGTGGAGTGCGAAGCACACTGTGCAAGCTAAGATCTAGGTTCTGGGTGCCAAAGGATAGGCAAGCAGAGAAAATGTGCTAGGTCATTGCAGAGTCTGTAAGAAGATGGAGGGAAGGTCATTCGATTTGTCATCAGCAGCAAGCTTGCCGGATTTTCATTTGAACACAGCTCCACCGTCTTCCAAGACTGGAGTGGACTTTGCAGGTCTATTGTTTGTGAAGGGTAAGAATGATCAAATGAGAAAGGTGCAAATTGCATTGTTTCCTTGTTGCATGACAACAGCCATACATCTAGTATTAGTCAAGAATTTGTCTGTAGAGACCTTTCAACTATGCCTAAGATGGTTTATAGCTAGAAGGGCTGCCCTGACATTGATAGTATTGGACAACACAAAAACCTTCAAAGGCGCAGAGAAAGAGCTTTGTGCACTCTATAGCCACCCCCAAGACAAGGAGGAAATGCAGAACCGAAGAATACAGTGGTACTTCACTGTTGAGAGAGCCCCATGGTGGGGCAGATTTTTTCATAGGCTGATAGGAAGCATCAAAAGATGTCCTCAAAAGGTTCTTGGCAATGCCTGGCTGTCGTTTGATGAGCTACTGACTGTTTTAAGTGACGTTGAATTCCATACCATTGACGTATGACTACGACAGTCTTAGTGAGGAAGTTCTGACACCCTGCACACTTGATGTACAGAAGAAGACTTACCACATTACCAGAAACTCAAGAGACTGAAGAAGACATTGGTTGCAAGAAAAGGTACAGGTGTGTTACTGAAAGGCGGGACCATTTCTGGAGGAGGTGGCACCAAGAATATCTTACAAGTTTACGAGAAAGTCACCAATGCAACACAAAAAACACAGGTGAGGAACTAAAGGTAGGTGAAGTGGTGGTCGTGTTTGAAGATGGGGTGAAAACAAATCGTTGGAAGATGGCCGTGTTAGGGACACTCATTCAGGGAAAGGATAACAAGGTAAGAGGAGCAAATGTAAGGGTAGTCTCTATGGGAAAGACTGTGTTCTGTTGAGTAGACCTGTGCAGAAGCTCTACCCCATCGAGATTAGAGAGAACACTCCAAGTTTGCCCAGAAGCTACACGGTTCAAGCAGAATGGGACAAAACCTTTCAAACGCGCAACCTTCTTCACTGAACTGCGGTGCTGGATGTGGCCTGGAAGACACGAGAGATGATAACTAGATGAACAACTAGAGTGTTATTTTAGCCATAGTGTTTTCTTTCATTTTGACACAAAATCAAGTCAAGCGTGGGGGGAGTGTCATGAAATAGCAGTAATGCAACTTGTCTAGGGAACATGACTCAAAGAAACCTGATGTAAACGCAGGGACCCAATGGGCGCTGTGTTAATAAAATTGATTTTAGAGATATAAGATAAAAGAATATTGTATAACTGTAACATCAGAACAAAGCTGTGTACTTAAGGGCAAACAAAAGAACGTTTAGAGCAACTATGGGAGGTTGTACAATGTTTCTAGAAAGGTGAGCATTGACAAGAGCATGATCCCTTACAAGGGAAGGTACTCTATCAAACAATACAACCCAATGAAGCCTACAAAATGTGGATACAAATTATGGGTTAGAGCAGACACTAGTGGTTACATCAGTAAATTTGATGTATATCAGAAAAAAATAGGTCCATAATGTGTACTTGTGGCTTATGGCTAGTTTTATTCACTGGGTTGAAGTATTGTAGTCTTACGAGTAGCCAATTACTAGAAAGATAAAAGTACAATAATAAATGACGTCCATGCTAGGAATGTACTTGAACCTGCTGTTTTAACTGATTTATTCAATATTCATGAAGACAGCTGCCCAATCTTGGAAAGTAAATAAACAGTGATATACACCCAGTTTTGACAAGCAAGAAAATTGCCAACATCAAAGTAGCAGAGGCCAAACCACCGTTGATAAATCAACAATGCATTGTCTACAAATTCAAATGTTTAAACGTTCAAATTCAAATTCAGTTGTAACTACATGGGCATTTAAGACTGTTGAACAGCTTCTCTTGTTGCTCGTATACATTTTGAAATTTGTGGGATCAAAAAATGCAAATTAAAGTGTCACTTTCAATATGTTGGGTTTTTTTCCTTTAACCACATTTTGATATGCTCCTCAGGCAGTCCTATACTCCTAAGGAGACAAGCCGTGCTGTCTTCAACAGTGAAGTACAAAAACTCATTCATTCTTTCTGCATCAGAAGATAAAGGCCTAGAAAACGTTTTGGATATGGAACTTGTAAATATTCTTTATGATTTTCGATCAAATAAGCTGATTAATTAAATGTCACTTAGTACATTGTACTTTGAGATGGTTCTAGATTTCCAGCACCTAAACGTGCTATACCACCTTGCTTAAATGTTTTGATCAATATCAATTATTATTAACACTGAATGACAATTACATGACCATGTGCTTTAACTCAGATTACTTTATAGATATCGATGTTATGAATATGTACATTTTGTTAGTTAAAAAAAGAAAAGTAATCCATCTTAATTTCAAATTCTTATTTCTCACACACCGCTGGTAGCCATGTCAAGCTGACTGCCACCGCCTGACCTTTATTGCTAAATCAAAGCTAATACAAGTAGTATTGCGCTAAACACCGGAAATAACGGAAAAAAGTTCAAGGCTAGTACATTATACTGGTATTGTGTAAAAACTTAAAATCTTTGGGTGGGTGGGCGGAAAAGTTGGCAATGGAGGACGCAACAAAGACAACTGCCTGCCCGATAGGTCACATGACCTATACCCAGGCCCCAATGGTGTGTGAGAAAAACATTTTTCACTTATTTCATTTCACTCAGCCAGTGAAAAATTACTCTTCTCACACACCGCTGGTAGCCATGTCAAGCTGACCGCCGCAATGTCACAAAGCATATAGTAGCAAAAAACTTGAAACTGAAGAGAAGGAACAAATTTATACAGCACTTCTTGACCTATCACTATTGTCCAATTTCACTAATGAGGAAGTCTGAACAAGATAGAGATAATACTCCACTGTCAAAACTCTAAAACTGCATGGAAAATGCATGACATATCGTAACCAGTCCAGATACAACACTTGATCAAAGTTTGACAAGAACCTAAACATTAGCACTTTTGCAGAAATTGGCCTAACAGTCCATACAGTTCTCAGCCTTGAATGGCCTTACTAACTTTTAACAGCGACTCCAGGGACTCCTGGATGTAGTTATTTTTGGACTTCTCACTACGCCATCCTCCCTGCCGTTGGAACAGCCTATCAGGTATTCCCAGGGCTGCCGCCACCGATGCTCCCCCTGCTCTAAGACTATGGATACCATAAAGGCCACGATCAAGCCTTTCCTTCTGCAGCTCCTGCTTTATTAGTTCATTAGCCCAACTATAAGACATGGACTCCTTTCTGAGTTTCACCCTCATCTTGGTCTTCAGAATGCAACGAAAAAGCCTTGAGTTGCTGTCGTGCCTACCCATCTTCATGAACTTCTCGATCACTGAAACAGGGCATGGGGATATGTTGCTTCGTGCTATGAAAACCCAAGAACCATTTACAGAACTGGTCATTTTTCCTCTGTGTAAGAAATATAGCCAGATGAGTGGCTGCAAATTGCAGATTGTCGACAGTCAGCCTGCTCAGGTCATCCCAACGGAGGAATCCCAAAAATCCTCATGCAAACAACGCAGCAACTTGAACTTCACCAAGATCGCCTTGCCCAAGCCTGCTGATAACCTTCTTTACTTGACTCACCTCCAAGGCCTTCTTGCGATTCAGTGGTTTGGCTGGGATCCTCCTACCAGCTTCTGCTACCTGTTGGACCAATGGGTGATCGCCCAGCTCTAGGTAACCGCTTTTCTTATGAACCCAGCTAGCTCTATAGATGGCAGAGTTAAGCAATGAAACTGAACTCCCTTGCTGGATAAGATGCACCAAATACAGGGCAAAGACACCAGGATCAGCTGGTAGGGCAGTGACATTGCATTGAATAGCCCATTTTTTCCGTTTGATACGCCTGAACATAACAAAGTACTGTCTTTGGTGCTCTATCTTGGACTAAAATACCTGGCAGAGACTTCGCCAACTGCTTCAGTTGAGGATGGTTGACAATCTCCTTGGTTAACCAGACAGCCAGGTTTACCTCCTTCTGGACAGAGTCAGGCACTGCAACTGAATTATGTGGAGAGTAAACAATGCTCACATCTATGCTATTTCATCAACCATGATACAATAACCTAACATCACACAACAGGTACAACATGAAGCAGGTACAGCTCCATCCCAACCGTCCTTGGCTACCACCTCATGTGCTCTTGTGTAGAATACCATACTCTTAAGTAGCATGAGTAACCCCTTCAGCCAATACAGCTAGAGGTAATAAAATGCTATGACCACATAAAACAATTTACTATCAGCCACCACAAAGCCAACACGGCACTAGTGGTCACATGGTCTGAATAACCGCTTTAGCCAACACGGCTGGGGGTGGTGAAATGTCATGGCAGCATGAAACCTGCAACTGCTAGCACTATATAACTAACACAGCAGTAGTTATCACATCGTGTGAGCAACCCCTTTGGCCAACACGGCTCCGCAGTAACATGCCAAGACAGCAATACCAGACCAAAACAGCGCTCAAACAGCACAGACAAAAACCTCATCATAGGAACAGTGATCTGCTGTAATGGCAACATGAACAATCTCAGTACATTATGATGAAACTTAGCATAATCCTTGACAGCCACACGCAATGATACCTGATACTAACATAGTCCAAAATGCCTACAATGACACATGGATTACTGCCAAGGGATTTGAACTACAAATTATCCTTGTTTGGGCCATTAAGGAAAGCAAATACGAAGGGCTAGAATCGGAAATGATGGAATGTCCGATGTAAATACATTGCTCGCCACAGATCCTGCCAAGAAAATCCCTTGGTAAGGTTGGAATGTAATTGAGTGCGTAATGAAGGCTTTCCAAGATCCATCTGTGCTGACAAGGAGTGGCCACCACACAGCTAAGGGGCCACCGAGGGAGAAGTAAGGTACCAATTTCACCTCCAGCTGACATGTGCTTCAGAACAC